ACAGTATTCTATTATTTTCCTTGCTCCTCCATCCTTAACATTTATGGTATCAGAGCCTAGTTTCAATCTGAACTGGGCATTATGGCCTTCAATGACAATTCCATGTCTCAACCCCTTATTCTCATCTTCTCGAGCAAATACTATGAATTTTGGAGTATCAAGATGAAGACTCTATTCAAGTCTCAAGATCTTTGGGACTTAATAGAGAATGGATATGCGGATCCAGATGACGAAATCAGGCTGAGGGAGAATAGAAAGAAGAACTCAAAGGCATTGTTCTTCATTCAACAAGCTGTATATAAAACAATATTCTCAAGAATTACAACAGTGACAACCTCAAAGCAAGCTTGGTTGATACTTCAAAATGAATTTAAAGGCTCATCAAGGGTGATTACGGTAAAACTTCAAACCTTCCGTCATGAGTTTAAAATTTTGTTTATGAAAAGCAATGAATCGATGCAAGATTTTCTTTCTCGAGTGATTGAAATTGTTAGTCAAACGAAATCTTATGGTGAACATCTTTCTGATCATATAATTGTTATAAAAGTTTTGAGAAATTTAACTCAAAAATTTGATCATGTTGTTATCGCAATTGAGGAGTCAAAAGATTTATCTACATATTCATTTGATGAACTAATGGGTTCCTTGCAAGCACATGAAGCAAGGTTGAATAGGTCACTTGAAAAAAGTAAAGAAAAAGCATTTCAGGTTAAGGGAGAGTCTTCTACTTCAAAAGATTGATAAAAAATTAGTATGAAGAGGACGTGGCAGAGGAGGATTTCGTGGTAGAGGAAATGAAAAAAGAAGATAATGAAAAAAGAAGATGACACTTTGATGGGCATGATGAACAAAGGCAATCAAATTATGATAAAAAAAATTACAAAAGTGGAATTCAATATCACTATTGTAAAAAGTTTGACCATATGAAGGCGGATTACTAGAAAAAAGAAAAGCAAGTATGCTATATGGAGGAAAAAGAAGAAAATAGTAAGTTGTTTATGACTCATTTACAAATTCATGATATCCCAAATAATATTTATTTTTTGGATAGTGAATGTTCTAATCATATATCAGGCATAAAATCAATATTTAGAGATATTGATGAAACTCACAAGTTGAAAGTTAGATTTATAGCAAGCAAATCCAAGTGGAAGGGAAAGGAACAATTGAGGTAAAGACAAATCAAAGGAAGGTAAAATACTTTGATAATATTTTCTTTGTTTCTACTTTATCACATAACTTGAGTGTTGGACAATTGATAGATGATGGATATTCAATAATATTTGATAATAGTTCATGCACTATTAAAGATAAAAAATTTAGTTTGATTATAGTAAATGTTTGTATGACGCAAAATAAGATATTTCTACTTGATGTGTCAAATATTGAGAGGCATGCGCTTGTCACAACTAAAAAAAATGACTCTAGTTTATGACATTTAATATATGGACACCTTAACATTAAGGGTTTAAGGTTGTTAAGTCAAGAATGAATGGTTTTCGGATTACCTAAAATTAATACACTTGATGTATGTGAAAGATATATTTATGACAAATAAAGTAAAAAACCATTTCCTATTGGAAAAGCATGAAGAGCATCTAATTATCTTAAATTAATTCATGCTAACTTATGTGGACCTATGAATACAAAATCATTTAGTGAAAGTTAATATTTTTTATTGTTTATTAATGATTATAGACGCATGAGTTGGGTATATTTTCTGAAACTGAAATCTAAAACATTTGATAATTTTCGAAAGTTTAAGGCACTTGTAGAAAGGCAAAGTGGTAGATATATAAAGACACTTCGGACAATAGAGGTGGTAAATTTTTATCTAATGATTTTAGTTCTTTTTGTGAACAAAATGGTATTCACAGAGAATTAATAGCAGCATATACACCGGAGCAAAATTGTGTAGCTGAACGTAAGAATCGGATTGTCATTGAAATGATAAGAAGTTTGCTTAAAGGAAAATATCTTCCAAATCAGTTTTGGGCAGAAGCAATTGCAACAACAGTTTATTTGTTAAATATTTCATCAACAAAGATTGTAATGAATTAAACTCTTTTTGAGGCTTAGTATGGTATGAAACCAAGTGTTAGACATCAAAGAATTTTTGATTGTATTGCTTATACTTTGGTGAATTCACAAAATCATCACAAGCTTGATGAAAAATCTGAAAAATGTATCTTAATTGATTATTCCATACAATCGAAAGCATATCGATTATATAACCCTGTTAGTGACAAAGTTATTATTAACAAAAATTTTATGTTTGATGAAAGGACAAGTTGGAATTGAGAGGCCAATAAAGGTGGAACACAAATATAGATTCCAGCAAAACTAGACACTCCGTAGAATCCTCCAATAAATTCACCCAATAACAATTTAAATTCGGATTCCTCAGATGAAACCCTTCCAAGAAATTTTAGATCACTAATAGAAATTTATAACTTAACATTTGCTTTATTTATTTCAGATCCAACAACTTTTGAGGAAGTGAATGAAGAAAAGCAATGAAGGAGGAAATCAAGTTAATTGAGAAGAATGAAACTTGGGAGCTAATAGATCTACCGAAAGAAAAAAAACCTATTGGGTTAAAATAGGTGTTCAAAACAAAATTTAAATGTAAATTATTTAGTTTCAAGTGATTGGGTATCAGCTTTAGATTATAGAAAGAGTACTTCAGGCAATATTTTTAGCCTCGGATCGGGAGCTATATCTTAGAGTTCTAAAAAGCAAGCAACAACTGTGTTATCGACATCAGAAGCAGAATATGTAACCGCAACATCAGTAGCTTGTCAAGCAATATGGCTTATAAGACTTCTTGAATATTTTCATCAAGAACAAAAAGAAGCAACGAAAATATTTTGTGACAATAAAGCCACAATTGCAATGACGAAGAATCCAACATTTCATGGAAGAAGAAAGTATATAGAGATATGCTATCATTTCATCTGAGATCTTGTAGCAAGTAGAGTCATAACAATGAAGTATTGTAGAATAGATAAACAAGTTACGTATATCTTCACCAAGTCGCTTCTAGTTTAAAAGCATGTTTATTTCATATCGCAAATCGATGTATGCAATTGTAAATCAAAGGAGAGTGTTGAGATTTGATTCATAGTTATCTATGTAGTTATCATAATCTAGTAGTTACAGGGTGATTTCAATAACTACCTCAATCATGATCTAGTAGTTATATGGTGGTTTCAATAATTACCTCAATCATGATCTAGTAGTTATAGGATGGTTATCACTAGGTCCTATAAATAGGATCATAATTCATGAAGAAAGTATATAGAGAGTGTGTGCATTTGAGAATATCTTATAAGTGTTCTTATCAATCTTTATGTTTTTAATAATAATAGTATTCTATTATTTTCCTTGCTCCTCCATCCCCAACAAAAACAGAAAAAGAAAATTCTAGTGTGGATCCGTGTACACATTTACACTTCTTGTGTGGATCCGTGTACCTCCTTCCCATATGCGAGATCTGATTCGATGGCGTCGAGCATCTGCAATGTCGCCGTTGTGAGTGTCGGAATTTGCCTCCGCACCCAAAATCTTGAGCGCAAACCGAAGTGACGACCTAAGGAAATTAAATAAAGTTAAAGAGGAAGATCGAAATGAAAAAGTTTAAGAAAAAACAAACGAAGATGATCGATGAACCAAAGCACAGATCCGCCCATATATATATATGTATACATATATATATATATATAAATATATGTACGTACCTGTTGTCGCAATCGAAAAGCCAAGATTAAGTTGGATTAGAGAAAACAAATCGAGCAACGCAAGAAAGATCGATCGGAAGAAGCCATGGAACCATACATTATCTCGTATCTTCTTCGATGTCTTCGTTCCAAGATTCATTAGGTAACGGGAAAAAGAAACAAGAAACCTTGATCGACCCAGTTTCCACAGCCTGATTAGGTTAACATCATCTCTTACCCACTAGGATATGGATCGGGAAAATGGACAGAGCCTGATACCTTCTTGGATCTCTCATCCCCAACATTTTATTGTGGGAGGAAAAACAGAAAAGCAACAGAACGAAACAAGAAAACGCAAAGAGACGATCGATCGACAGAAGCGACGGGCCATGGAACGCTTCCCTCTCTTAGCTTCTCCCATCTCCTCGGTTTAGGACTCCCCGCTCTCAATAACCGAGATCTTCCACGGATGAAAGCTATTCTTCCTTCAGCCATGCAGAATCGCATCGCACTATGGGTAGAGGAGCAAACCAAGAAGAAAGAGGGGAAACGGATCGGGGAGCAAGTGAGCCTGGCCTTTGGGGAAGAATTAATAGTGGGTGTTCCCCGATCTATTTATACTGAAGACCCAAGAAGGTTCTCGAATTCCCAAAGCAAAAGCGGGAGAGAAGCCTTGGAATGAATTCGTAGCCGAAATATAGAGGGGGAAGCATGCACACCTATGCCACTAATTAATGGTCATATTCTCCCAAAATAATAGAAGAAATGTGGTACCACACAACCGTCCATCGCATGCCATCGAGTGGTTCCGTGCCTCCTCATCGGAACACCGGTAGATGTGGACGGTGGGATGAAGTGACGATAATTCCTCTCTCTAAAAACAGTGAAACAACAAACTAAATGATGAATTTTATATATGCCAAACTCGTCTGTCTCACGCAATATAATATATTTGTGATGAAAATAGTAGGATATTTTTGATAAAGAATATAGAATAAAGACCAGAGAGAATAAGGTTTTGAGAGATGAATCACATCTTTTATCGAAGCTGTCGAAAAAAATACCTTCGTCCGAAGACTACAGCGACGAGCGGTCCATGCATCCACAACATATACGGATTCGACAAGTACGATTTCAGGTTCCCCCAGTCGACTGGAAGCATCTCTCTGTGAACGAAGGTGGAAGTGAGCAGCAACCGATGGATGGGGGTGATCACAGTTTACTTTAACATGATACATTCAGTCTGGTGCGAAAGGAACGAACAGTACAATGAGTTTCAGGTATAAGTAGATGGTGAACAAACAGGAAAAGCCACAAGGAGCTGCTTAACGATGAGAAAATTAAAAAAATAAAAAAAGGTAGGATATTGATTCCAATATATGTTGGAATTAAACTTGTTCAAGTGTCATAAAGAGGTTCATTTCATCAAAAAAAATGTTCATTGCATCAAGTGGGAGAATCATTACATAAAAAAATGGATTAAAAGTCTATAGAAGGATAAATCAAATTGGTTATTGATTCTTGAAAGAATTTCTTGAAAGAGAATGATTCATTTGAATACAATTAATGTAATGTATCCTTGAGGACTATATAAACCCCATATATTGGGTCATGAAAAAAGAGAGTTTCTGAAATTGTAAAGTATTTTTTTTCTTAAGAGAAAAATAGAAGATTGAAGCTTGTCCTATTCTTCTTCTGTTTGATAACTCCGTCCCCTCTTCCTATCAAGTTCAACAAAAAATACCTTCGTCCGAAGACTACAACGACGAGCGGTCCATGCATCCACAACATATACGGATTCGATAAGTATGATTTCAGGTTCCCCCAGTCGATTGGAAGCATCTCTCTGTGAACGAAGGTGGAAGTGAGCAGCAACCGATGGATGGGGGTGATCACAGTTTACTTTAACACGATACATTCAGTCTGGTGCGAAAGGAACGAACAGCACAACGAGTTTTAGGTCTATAAGTAGACGGTGAACAAACAGGAAAAGCTACAAGGAGCTGATTAACGATGAGAAAATTAAAAAAAAAAAACAAAAAAAAGGGCAGGCATGATACGGTTCAATTGAGAAAATATAATGCAAGGTCCTCACAGCCTATGAGCCACCTGTCCAGCTCATCGAACACCGCCTGTGCATCTGATTTGGTTCCAGAAATGCCACCCATGACTCCATCTAGAGAACCATTTCCATCTCCACCTCCAGTCTCATAAGCTTCCGCTCCAAATTCATTGCTGGTGTTTCCACCACCACCGTTCAGTGTGGGCACCGAGCCCAAGTCCAAAAGATGCAACTCGGGCGACAGTAATCGTAGGGGCTCATCATGAGTAGTGCCACCCGGTGGTGAAGTCATGATGGCAAGATGCAACTCCTCCATCGCGTCCGATCCCGTGGTGAAGTCATGATGGCTTGATGCGAACGGAGGAGCGCTGTCGACGTTTTGATTCAGCTCGAGATTGAGGTCATCGATGGTCAGTGACCTTTTGCACAAGTGAGTATTCCAGTGATTCTTTATCTCGTTGTCCGTTCGTCCTGGCAACCTTCCGGCAATGAGCGACCATCTGCACCAGAAAAAAGGATAACAATGATATGAAGGGATCGGATACCTAGCAAAGTAAAGAAATACGATAGAGTGTGCGGCGGAGGAGGTCCATTCGATGGGGTCAGGTGGTCTATACATCATCGTCGTGTTCCAGTTGGTCGGTTCACACCATTGTCAAAAAGAAAGAGAAAGAATGTCTCATGTACATGATACTATCGAATCGAAGAGTTAAGTTACGTCAATTGAGCTTGGTGCACAAACCTGAATATGGTGTCGAAGACAAATGATTATATATGCGGGTTGTTGGATGAGATAATACGAAATCGATTCGAACGATCGAACAGCGCGTCGCTGACTTAAGCTAATCACGCCGAGCAACTCCGGATGTTGGTCGCATGCTTCGTAACCTGTTCGTGTACAGGGGTCGACTGTTCGTAGTAACAACTATCTCTAATGCGATTCGGCAGGTGACGGGGCGGGCAATCACAGGCCTGCTGTTCTTTACCGGGTCCAAATTCCAATGACTGTTCCTGGCGCCACGCCATCGCAAATGCGATTCCGCTCGTGACGGGGGCAATCATAGGCCTCCCGTACTTTACCGGGTCCAAATTCCAATGGCCTCCGACAGACGATGACACACAAGATTCGGGACGATTGCTTTTCTCTGTACCCATCCCCGTTTACGGTATTGACTTGAAAGCTGGAAGAAGAGGTACCCATCTGTCTAGTTCGAGATTCAACGAGTCTTAGAAGTTTGCTGTTTTCGCCAAGCAAAATACTTTTAGGGCGCCTTTTTCCAACATATCAGGACACGAATTCCAAGCCATTTGAAGTACTTTGCAAAAGAGAAGTTGGGGTGGGGAGGGGAATCGTAACTACATAGAAATGTGTATGTATGCAATAATAGAAAGCCCGGTTTGGTTATGCCAACCATAGATCTCATGCAACATACCTACCTACTGTCAGCAAAATCAGCGTGTGCAACATATGCCTACGCAGTATATATATATGGTATTTGTGTCGATGTGAATGCATACGAGTAAATCGATGCTCCACTGCTTTAGAAAAATGGTAAGCCACAACTAGTCAAGTGAAAGAGACACGCACCTGTTTCCCAAAAGGTTATGAAGTCGAATTATGAGGTCGTCTTCCTCTTTGGATATGTTCCCTCTTTTGATCCCTGGTCTCAAGTAGTTCAACCATCTCAATCTACAACTCTTACCGTATCTATTTATCCCTGATAATAAAAAAACAAATAAAAGAATTTTTTTTTAAATATGATTCTTTGAGCACTGTAATAATGATATGCGTACCGATAAGGAAGGTCAACATAAAACGACATTACTAATACTTTTATGCGGTTAATTTTATACGTTACTTCATATTTTTAGATTTCGTTGCCTTCTTAGTCTTCTCAAGGGTTGGGTCACGACGTAATTAAGAACAGCGATACAGTTGAAGTGTAAAAATAAAAATAAAAATAAAAAAAACTGTGCGATGCACGTGTGTGATTTTATGAACCACAGGATTCCCATTAATCGCTGCGTTTAAGAGCCAAAGTGTTGAGCTTCTTTTCCGGCCGCCGTCGTACTTTCACAGAAACACACTGATTAGTTAGGTAGATCCAATACTGTAACACGATGCGACAACTTTTGGGAACAGTAGATATGGTTTACCTACACGGAAGTGAAAGATGGGAGATATCGGTTAGGCAGCAAGTTGGTTTATATATATATATATATATCTCTTAATTTTCTTTTCTTAATCCCTGTCGCTAACTCATCTGGGTTTGTGCATTTTGAAGAAACGATAATCGATAATCAAGAAATGAGAAAGAAGAAGCATTTAAGGTAGTAAAAGCACTGAAGAAGGGGGTTCCCACGGAAGTGTGCCAACAGATTTGATAGTTTCATGATTTCAGATCCTAGTAAACAAAAATAAACGGAAGAAGAAGAAGAAGAAGAAGAAGAAGAAGAAGGGTACTATGGAATTGAGCCTAGCAATTGAGCCTCAAGCAGAGAGAATCTAGGAATTGGGAATGATCTCGGACAAGGGTACTATGGCCTTGGCAGATTCCATGCGAGGGATAACAAAGTTGCTTGCTTTCTTTCGGCTGAGTACCTGCTCCGATCCAAGTCCGAAGCTTAGTAGAAAAAGACCTGGTATCGAGCAAATGGATTATTTTGCCGAAAAGAAAAGGCATTCGTCTGTCTACCCTTAAAAATTTCCCATCTCCGTAAAGGTAAACAGCTGAGCCAGCAGAATTGGGTAGAATTAAATGAGTGGAGCAGCTAGACTGCTTTTTCATTTGTCTTCAGCAATCAACTGGCAGGAGAAGCCAGCGCGTGCGCGCGTGTCAAAGAGAGAGAGAAAGAGAGAGAGAGAGAGAGAGAGAGAGAGAGAGATGACCAGCTTTTGCGGGGAGGGTTCTCCAGTTCTTGTCACCGTGGGCTCTGACGTATTCCACCAGCTTCTGGTCCTCCTCAGCCGTCCAAGCTCCTCTGTTCACCACGCTCTCCGTCACTCCCTTCTTCTTCCCTCTTTCTGCCATCTTCTTCACCATCTTCCTTTGCCTTTTTGTTCTCCTAATTAATTATGGCTAGGAAGACCCACGCTCTCCACCACTCCCTTCTTCTTCCCTCTTTCTGCCAACTTCTTCACCATCTTCCTTTGCCTTTTTGTTCTCCTAATCTTACATACTGTTGCCGCTCATGTATACAAGATTCCAACAAACGATGTCACCATACAACCATCACTAGTGCCTGTGCTACTTCTCACACTAGTGTTAGCTGATCCACATGTACCGTGAAGCACAGTACACAAAAGTAGCCATGAATAGAACGGCGAAGACGGACGCGAGAATATTCCAACCTTCTTCCCCGACGCGTGCGTTTTGACAGAGGACTTAGGATGTGAAAAAGTTAAAAGCAACAACAGTACGTTGGCGATGGCAAATGGTCTACGACTCCTCCGGAGGCCTCTGTTTGGCTACCCACGGGTGAACTGGCAGTCTCGTTCCATGTTTCACAGCGTGAGTGATATCAGTATGTTCTACACGGCACTCGTGAACTCCTCCATCCGACTGCTACTCATGTCATTAGTTATTTGTCTTCTTCTCAAAACAGTTGCATGTTCCTCGCTTCAAAACGACATAGTCCGTGAAGAAAGAAAGAGAGATCACTTGCGAGTGCAAATTTTTTTAATAATAATAATAGTAATAATAATAATAATAATAATAATATATTATTATTATTATTAATTTAAGATTATATCAAATAGAATAATAATAATAAAGTATTATTAACTTAAGATTATATCAAATAGAAGAAGAAAAAAATAAGAAAAAAAATCCATATTGAATTTCTTTAAAAAAATACTTACAAGATTTTATTATTTTTAAATTCAAGTTTTGTAGATTTGAATACTTGAAATTTGGATGTATCGATACATGAAGATACCATCTATTTGAATATATAAAATAATCCATAGTTGAAAAAGATTATTTTCTTTACCTTGAAGATCTTGAAATATAGATTATCATCATTATAGATTTAATATCAAGAAAGAAAAAGATGATACATAAGTATAATCTTTTTTCACACACACCTAAGTGATTTCTAACTACTCATAAACTTAAAAACTTGGATGGATCTTCATATAGATATCATATATTTATAGATATAGAATAATAATTTTAATCAAAATATTTTTATCTATAAAATTTTACCTAATTAATTTATTTTAAAAATTAAAAAATATATCTATTTTTAAAATATATTAAATCTTAAGATAGTCGGTCAACGATCAAGTGATCATCGCCACTTGCGCCTATTATTATTATATCAGTTAGTAGAAAACAAGCCGCCATTATTCTGTTGTAATTTTCGACGAGGTTTTTGATAAGATCAGTTTTCAGCGATCCAAAACGAAACCAACACCATTCACTTAGATAGATAGATGGATGGCTTACCTACCCCTAAAGTACCCGCGTTTCCGTTCACGGCGCTTGAGCACTTTTTGGTGCATAATTATGGTCCTTTCCCTTTCCATAATTATGCAATGCGTGGAATGTAGTGAGCGCTGGACCCTTTGTAGGGACGCCTTCCAAACAAAACCACAAACAAAATTAATGACCAGCACAAGTCAGTACTCTCGCCCGAAAAATGACATGCATGCATCTGCTCAAGCAGTGACTGTTTGGCTCGTTTTATTTCGCTTTGCACTAGCTGACCACTTTTATATTTCGTGGGCCTATATAATTACATAAATTATATAATAAAATTAATTAGTTTCTGATATATATTGGTTAATAGAAAAAATCTATATTATAGTAAGATTTCTTTTGTAATGTCATTGATGGGAGGAACTCTCCTAATAACTTATCCTAAGACTCTTGCTTATAAATATGCAGGACCTATAGGGACTAAATGATGCATGTTATAAAAGACGTAGTTGAGATATTATAGTTTCTCTCTCAACCTCCCTAAATTATCAATAATAGTGGTTATATAAAAAGATAGGAAGAGATGAGGAATATCTAATTCTGCTTACAGATCGACGTCATTGTGATATTCGGATCCAGGGATAGTGCATTTGCAGATCACACAGAGATCTTTTCAGATGATATCGAAAAATATGCATCGTAAACCCGATATAATGTTATTTGATTTTCATCCTAGCATGAAAGTTTTTCCGCATTACATATAGTATATCATAGATTTTATGCTAACGATTGGTATCAGAGCCTAGATTCTTGAGATCAAATATATTAGATTTATTATTTTTATTTACGATGCTTTAATGATCCGTATATTTTACCGATCTAAATTCCTATCTACTCTATCTTGTCGTTTATTTGCGAGCGATGTTAGATTTTTGTAATGTGATCTTATCATGAAGCAGTGATGACCGTTGTGTAGCATCGCTGCCAACCTCGCTGCGTACGACCGGTGAATCTATTAGCAACAGCGGTTGTGTTAGACAGTGTGCGTATCGCAACAACAACAATGACCATCGGCGGCTATCAAGCAGTGAGTCGTACGTCAAGATTGATCGCGCATTACGATGACCACACTGGTGACAGTCGCAGGCCGAACGTTAGGTCGATCGCACAAGCGACAACCATGCGTGGGTAGTAACCACACAAGCAACCGCAAGGGCAGCAATGCACACATGTGACTACCGCATAGCGATGGCTGCGCACGGGCAGAAGTTGCCTTTAGGCGACGGTAGCATGTGGGCAATAGCCGTGTAGGCGACGGTGGCGTAGGCAACGGCCGCGCAAGCGACGACGACGTAGGCAATAGATTAGGATCTTTTGGTCAAATTATCGATTTACCCTTTTGTATTTTATTAATACCTTCTAGCATTTTAACAATTCTGCCCTTTAACAATCTCATAATTACACCTTTATCCTCTCAATAAAATTATAGTTTTACCCTTAGGAAATTAATTTTTTTTATTTATATCATCGATTATAAAATTGATCAATATAATTTAATTGAATTTGATCATGACTATATTTTGACTAGCTATTAATTAAATTTAATTTTTGATCAAATTTAGAAAGGATTAAATTTTGATCAATTTTTTTTAATTTTGATCGGCCTGTTTAATTGGGTTGATGTTTAGCCTAATTTTGGGCTTAACCAAATTAAATAAAATTTGATTGGATTTAATTTTATTAAAAAACTATAAATTATAATTTTCTTTTATAGTTTTCTCATATGACATATTGATTACATTTTAATATGGTAAATAAAATTCAATTATTGTTCTCGAACATTTCTTTGATTATTCATATATATATATTTAAAATTATAAAACAATATTTATCTTTCAAATGAAAACATGATTTATATGTTATCATGATTACAAGTATCATATAAGTTTTTTTTTCTTTTATTGATTAATAATTATTATGGTTGTTATTTTATTATTAAATTTCTTAGCATAAATTAAATTGAAGAAATTTGATGAATATTATTTGTAATTTATCTCCCTAAGTTTTATTTGACTTCCGGCTATCAAAATAGCTTGAAATGATAGACTTTTGGGATGTGAATTATAATAAAAATCTTATTATTTATAAGATATTTTAAATTATATTTTAAATTATTATATTGATATTGTAGTTATCAAAGTGACCTAGATCAATGGCTTATAAAATTACATTAAAGAATTAATCCTAAATGATATTAAGGAAATAATATTCATAATGACACATATAATTAGGAGATTTTGATAATCATAAAGGAGAATCTACTTCAAATAATTATGTGATAGGGTAAGATGATAGTATTTTAGATATCATTGCCGTTTATGATTGTATACCCAAATGTAGCTATACTATTCCATAGGGATAATATCAGTCCTCCATCGATGATCTTGAGTGAACACTAGATATGTCAATATTTCACTCAAAGGTAAAATATAGATGATATCAATGGTTCATCAAATTTTAGAAACTCAAAGGATTAATGTTATTTTATATTTTGAAGTGGTACTTTCGTCCATACATTCTCATACTTCTAGTACCCCTATACTCTCTGAATCAAATTATTCAGAATGATTAGAGCATATGCAATTCACATTGGGTGTATTAGATCTTGACTTAGCATTATTTGTTGAAAAGCCTGTAGACTTAACTGATAAAAGTATTATGAAATAAGTTAATGAAATGAAGGCTCGGAGAAGATTTGATAAGCTTAGTTTAATGTTCATAAGAATGATGATTGCAAATAATATAAAAACTTCATTACCGATTACAACTAGCGCACAAGAATATTTAAAGGTTATTGAAGGCATATTTAAAGGTTATTGAAGGCATATTTAAATCTATTGATAAGTCATTGGCTGACACACTAATGAAAAAACTATGGCTCAATATGATGACAATCGAGGAATTTAGGATCACATCCTACATATGGCTGATAAGACTACAAAACTTAAAGCATTATGCATAAATGTTGATGATTCTTTCCTCGTACAGTTCATTCTTAATTCTCTTTCTTCTTAGTTTGGCCCATTCAAGATTCACTACAATACAAATGAGAATAAGTGAGACTTGAAAGAGTTAACTAGTACGTGTATTCAGGAAGAATTGAGATTAAGGCAAGAAAGTTCATATAATATCATGACTATTACTCAAGGAGTTAGTAACAAGAAAAAAAAATTGAAGTATTATCCATCAAAGAAATTTGCTAGGTCTAGAAATATTAAATAGACTAATGAAAAGTAAAGCTTCTATAGTAAAGTGTTTCTTTTGTGACAAGAAATGACATGTGAAGAAGGATTGCATTAAACGATAAACTTAGTTTGAAAAGAAAGGTATGAACTTGACCTTTATATGTTTTTAATCAAATATTACAGAAGTTCCTTCTAATACTTGGTGGATTGATTCTAGTGCTTCAACTCATATTACCAATAATATACATGGATTTCTTTCAATCGAATAACCAAAAGAATATGAAAGATTCATCATTACGAGAAATCGTCTCAAAGCGAAAGTGATGTTAGTGAGGACTTATCGTTTATGCCTAGAGGTTGGTCATATGATAGATCTTGTTGATACATGTTATATTCCTACTATTTCTAAAAATTTAGTTTCTCTATCTAGAATTGATGAGTTAGGATATTATCTTTTTTTTTATAATAGTAAACTCAATATATTTATAATTCAATAAAAGTTGGCTTTGGAATTATGTGTGATAGTTTGAATAAAATTAATTTGAATCTTAAATTTGTAAATACATTTTTGACCCTACAATCAAGTATTGGATTGAAATGTAA